ATTCCGGTCAGGGGCATGTACGTTGGTTGTGGGCACATCCCTGATAGGGGGTGTGCAGGAGGCAGCTGGTCGGTGTTTCTCTCTCATCGACGTTTCTAGCTCTCTGTCCCTCTCTTTTTCTCTCTGTAAAAGATCAATAAAATATATTTAAAACGTGCAACACCTGACTCTGTAGTCAGGGGCACTGACCTTTTTCCCTCTTGGGTTGTCAAGTTAGACAATGACAACAAAAAATAAATAAAATGAAATAAAAAATTACCACTGCCAACACAATAATAGCCGCCCGGTGTGAATGAATCAAAATTGGACCCATTGTTGTTGCCAGATCGGCAACAATACAACATGCCTGTGGAGCGCCACAGAATGTTAGGGATTCATTTTTGTGCGACGAGCTGGAGAAGGCTGAGAATCCATGAGGGACGGCGTCCCTAAGCACACGCAGGCCCGGGAGCCTCGGACGGACGGGCCGCACGCAGTGGGCGCTCAGTGAGCACGGGGCCACTCGGCCCTTCCCGCTAACCTGGCAGACTCCGGCCGAGTCCAAGCAGACATGGCCCTGCCGGCCCCGCCCTGGGGGACCACAGCCACGGCCATGGCCACGGCCACCGCAGTGCTTCCTCCGAGAGCAGCCTCTCCGGGAGGAAGGAGCCGGGAGAAACAGCTGAGTCACAGGGTCCGGGGAGCTGCCCTGACCCCGGACCAAAGTTCAAAGCATTGGAAGACACTAGAGGGGGGAGGGGGAGGAGAAGAAGGGGGGAGGGAAGGGGAGGAGGAGGAGGAGGAGGGGGGAGGGGAGGAGAAGGGGGAGGGGAGGGGAGGAGGAGGGGGGGAGGAGGAGGAAGGGGGAAGGGGAGGAGAAGGAGGAGGGGGAGAAGGAGAAGGAGGGGGGAGGGGGAGGAGAAGGGGGGAGGGGAGGAGGAGGAGGGGGAGAAGGAGAAGGAGGGGGAGAAAAGGGAGGGGAGGGGAGGAGGAGGAAGGGGGAGGAGGAGGAAGGGGGAAGGGGAGGAGAAGGAGGAGGGGGAGAAGGAGAAGAAGGGGGGAGGGGGAGGAGAAGGGGGGAGGGGAGGGGAGGAGGAGGGGGGAGGAGAAGGAGGGGGAGGGGGAGGGGAAGAAAAGGGAGGGGAGGAGGAGGAGGGGGGGGAGAAGAAAAGGGAGGAGGAAGAGAAGAAGGAAGAGGAGGAGGGGGAAGAGGAGGGGGGATGAGGAGAGGAGAAGGAAGAGGAGGAGGAAGAGGAGGGAGAGGAGGTGGAGGAGGGGTAAGGGGAGGAGGAGGAGGGGGAGAAAGAGGAGGAAAAAGAAAAGGAGGAGGAGGAGGAGGAAGGGGAAGAGAAAGAGGAGGAGGAGAAGGGGGGAGGGGGAGGGGGAGGAGGAGGAGGAGGAGGAGGGGGGGGAGGAGGAGGGGGAAGAGAATGAGAAGAAGGGGGGAGAAGGAGGAGGAGGAGGAGGAGGAGGAGGCCCTCACAAATAAGGTGAAAAGCAAGGGAATGCAGCACAGCCTGTGTGTTGGGGGGGGCGAGCAGGAGGGGTGGGGCAGGGGGTGGAGGCCTGATGGCTGAGTCCCTCGGCATTAACCCTCCAGAACAGGGGTCTCCATGCAGAAACGGGGGCGTTTGGTTAAGCCAAAGCCTTTCTTTAAAAGAAAGAGCCTGGCTGGTATAGCTCAGTGGTTGGGCGTGGACCTATGAACCAGGAGGTCAGGGTTCGATTCGGGGTCAGGGCACATGGCTAGGCAGTGGCTGGATCCCCAGCGTGGGGTGTGCAGGAGGCAGCTGATCAATGATCGAAGTTCCTCTCATCATTGATGTTTCTATCTCTCTCTCCCTCTCCCTTCCTCTCTGAAATTAATAAAAATATATTTACAAAGAAGAAAGGAAGGAAGGAAAGAAGGGAGAGAGGGAGGGAGGGAGGGAGGAAAGGGGCTGGTGTCCAAAGGAGAGTTTTTTGGACAAAGCACTGCTTTAAAAGGCTAGGGCCTGGCTGTGGGATTCCCCCAGCGCTTGGCACAGTCGGCCTGCAATCAATGTGCCCATGCCTGAGGGGAGGGGGTCATTGCAATCAATAGGTTTTCCTTTTCCTTTTTCTTTTAGGGAGAGAAACACATCCACTCGTTCCACTTGTTCATGCGTTCATTGGGATTCCTGTCTGTGCCCTGACCGGGGAGGGAGCCACTACCCTGGCGTATTGGCACACACACCTGCCAACCGCCTACCCCCTGAGCTCCGGCCGGGTCCATGGATTCCGTTAGAAGGGAGAGCGCAGCCAGCCGGGGAGGCCTCGCTGGGCGCCCATGCGGACTCGGAGCTCACAAAGGGAACAAAGGGACGGCAATTACCTCCGCGGGGCAGGACTCTGTGACCCTGTCTGTGCAGAATGCACTGTGCCAGCTCCGCGGGCCGTCGGCCCAGGTGCTGCCACTGCCCCTCAGAGAGGCCAGGGGCCCTTGGGTGCCAGGCCGAGCTGGGGCCATGGGAGCTCAGCGCTCGGGGTGAAGGGGAGGCCTGGCACCCACACCGCTCCTGTTCTCCGGGCCCCTGTGCGTCACCCCGCTTGCGACCTGGGGTTCTTGAAGACAGCGCTACGCATTATAGAGGAAGTTCAATCCCCGTCTCTCCCCACCGCCCCTGCCCGGCCCCAGGTCACGGCAGGCCTGGCGGTGGAGAGGCCTAGAAACGGTTCATCAAGAAATCAGGGTGCGGCCCTAACCAGTGTGGCTCAGTGGATAGAGCATCGGTCTGCGGACTGAAAGGTCCCAGGTTCGATTCCGGTCAAGGGCATGTACCTTGGTTGCGCGCACATCCCCAGTAGGAGGTGTGCAGGAGGCAGCTGGTCGATGTTTCTCTCTCATCGATGTTTCTCACTCTCTGCCCTTCTCCCTTTTTCTCTGTAAAAAAAAAATCAATAAAATATTTAAAAGAAAAGAAAGAAAGAAACAGGGCAGGCGCCCGCTCGGCTTCCTGGAACGTGTCTTCTGAGGGCTCCCGGCTCCCGGACAGGAATGCTCTCCCCACTAAGGTCACACAGCGGCAGGACCTGCCATTCTGCCCGCACTGTTGTAAAGTTCATTTTTGATGATGTGAATAATTGACGAATGTGCTCCTTCCTGAGACAGTCACACGGGCCGGCCCCCAGCTCTCCCGGCCCCCGGCTGACGATGCCCCGTCTCCCACCCCCTCCCGGCTCCTGACCCCCCTGCCTGCTGAGACAGCGCTTCCAGCCCCTGCACATTAACCAGCGTGGGCCTGGCCGGTGGGGGCAGTGGGTGGGGGTACAGCAGCGGGCCGTGCACTGACCCTCGGTGAGCAGGGAGGGCCTGCGCTTTGGTCGTATGCAGGTCAAGGTTACGTGTTTGGGGTGGAGGGGGGGGCGGGAGTGTCTGGAAGTGCATCTCCCTAACTGGGCAGAGCAGGCGAGAACAGGACGTGGGAGGCAGGAATCTTAGAGAAAAGCTAAGCTCCCGGGGCGTCACCGGAGACAGAGGCTGGGGAGGAGCTGGTGTAGGCCCAGAATTTCCAGAGCGGATGCCCTGGCCGGTGTGGCTCAGTGGATAGAGCGTCAGCCTGTGGACTGAAGGGTCCCAGGTTTGATTCCGGTCAAGGGCATGTACCTTGGTTGTGGGCACATCCCCAGTAGAGGGTGTGCAGGAGGCAGCTGATCGATGTTTCTCTTTCATCAATGTTTCAAACTCTATCCCTCTCCCTTCCTCTCTGTAAAAAAATCAATAAAATTTATTTAAAAGAAAAAAAAAAAGAATTTCCAGCTCAGATCCCCAGGGTGGAGCGTGCAGGAGGCAGCCAATCAACAGATCAATGAGTCTCATCATTGATGTTTCTCTCTCTCTTCCTTCCTCTCTGAAGTCAATGTAAACATAACCCATCCTGTGTTAAGCATTCATTCATTCTCCAGCAACGTGTAGCAGGCTGCTGGGAGCGCTTAGAGGGGCGGTCATGCAGGATCGCGCTGCCCCCGCCGTTCCGGAGCTCCCACGGAGGAGGACCGTGGACCAGAGAAAAGTGACTGAGCAGGATCATGTCCGATGCCGGGGAGGAGACACACGGGGCCATGGAGCTGGGGGAGAGCTCCGACGGCGGGACCGGGAGAAGCCCGACCACGTGCTCCGCCAGGTGCGGGACCCCCCCCTTCCCCCCCTCCAGGCTGTGGGCATCCGCCGTGCTGCCCACACGGAGCTCCCCGTTCGGAAGGGGAAAGGGTGGCCGTCGGCCCCAGACTCCTCCCCGCCGCTCCCCGCCAGCGGCCACCTGGATGATGAAACCGGTGGAGGCTGCACCTCCTTCCAGCGGGCGTCCTGCAGGGGTGGCGGGTGGCGGCGGCGTTTGCGGGAGACGCGCCTCCAGGGAGAATCTGCAAACAGCTCTGCATCCACAGAAGTTTGAGACGTGCCGACCCCGGCTAACCCGCCCTCCCCGGGGGCTGAGCCAGACCCCCACTCCCGCCCGCTCCGCCCGGACGGAGCCAGACTCCGGTTCCCGCCCCGCCCCGCCCCCAGCAGGCAGGCCAGCGCGGGGCACGATGGGACTTGTAGTCCACCCAGTCCCCACACACGCTCCAGCAATGCCCGGGGGAACTACAAAGCCCAGGGGTCAGCGGGCGGCCGGGGCGGGCGCGCGGGCTGTGGGTGTGCGAGCGCAGGGACCTGGCGGAGCGGACGCCGGGCGCCGGGATGCGGGAGCGGACGGCGGAGCCCGGGAGCGGCGGGCGGCTCGCGCGCTAGCGGGGCGGCCGGGCGGCGACGGGCACGGTGCGGGCACGCCCTGGGCACGGCCTCCGCGGCCCCGATGGCGCCGCGCTCCGGCCCCGCGGCCGCGCGTGGGGGGTCCGGTCGCCGGGGGATGGGCGCCCGGTCCCGGAGCCCGGCGGGTGGCGATCGCCCGGCCGGGCTGGGGGGCGGGAGCGCGGGTGCCGGCCGGGGGCTGTGAGCGACGTGGTTTTTAGTTCTTTTCCTTTTCTGTTTTGTGCCAAAGGTGTCCCCGCGCGGGTGCGCGATGCAGCGAGCGGCGGCGGCGTGGGTGCGGCGGGGCTGCTGCCCCGGGACCCGGGGCCCCTGGCGCCGCGGCCGGAGCAGCGCGGCCGCCGAGGCCCCGGCGGTGCTCCCGGGGCGGCCCGAGCGGGCCCCGCGCGAGCGCATCCTGACGCCCGAGTCCATGAACCCGCGGGTGAGGGCGGTGGAGTACGCGGTGCGGGGCCCCATCGTGCTCAAGGCGGGCGAGATCGAGCTGGAGCTGCAGCGGGTGAGCGGGCGCGGGGCGCGGGGCCGGGGGGCGCGGGGCGCGGGGCCGGGGGGCGCGGGGCCGGGGGGCGCGGGGCTCGGGGCTGGGGGCGCGGGGCCAGGGGGCGCAGAGCCGCTGTCCTCTGCCGGGTCTGCGCGCCCCACTCCCCTCCTCCTCCCGAGGCGGCTCCTGCTTCGGTCCAGCTGGACCTGAAAGGACCTGCCCTCCTCCCACGCCCCGACCCCCAGTGCCCCTGCTCCGCACAGCACGGCCCTCCCGGGGTGCGGGTCACTTGTTGAGCCGCGGGGTGCCTGGCGCTGCAAGTTGGGGGGCTGCCTTCCTTCCTCGCCCGGAATCCGGACCCTTGGTGGTTGTGGTGGGGGAGATAGAGAGACAACCAGCAGCAGCGGGAGGTCAGAGTGCAGGGCCGGAGTCGATGGAGGGCCCGATGGGGTGCTGGGCGCTCGGTGGAGTTGGGGGAAGGCCGTCGCTGGGGAGGGGGATCGGGCTTGTGCCCCAAGCCTGCTCTCTCCACGTCTGAGACCTTTGGGGTCCTTCTCCAGTGAGCCCCAGGCAAGAGCAGGCCGGAGGGGGCCCTGCCTGGTCCCGGTCCAGGGCACCCCCCTTCTGCCCGCTCTGGGACCTTGATCTGCAGCCACAGTTTGTTCTCTGTCCGAGGACAGCCGCCCCGTGAGTGGCCGGGCAGTCAGGACGGGCCCTCGGGCGTTGGTAGGGACTTTCTTGTCTTGGTGGGATCCTGGCTGAGTTCACAGCTGCGAATCAGGAGGGATTTCTGCCCCGGGAGAGCCAGGTGGCTGGCAGGGGCGGGAGGGTGCCCCCGTAGGGCTGCAGTCCTGGGTGGACGCCTGAAGTGGCGTCTGGAGGGGCATGGCACAGGGTGAGCGCGCCAGGGTTTTCGGGAAAAGAGCTTAGAGAGTTGGACAGGAGAGTTCTGGCCCCGAGTGGGGGCGGGGAGGTGCCTGGATCTTGCTCTCAGAGGCCCCGGATCACTCACTGTCCCTGGGCAGGCAGGGCCGTGACGGGGCCGTGGCACTCGGTCCCCATTCCGACGGGGCCCCTGGGGGCTGGAGGAGCTCCTGGCCTGCAGACACCTCGTTCGGGACACCCCGTTCTGCTGACTCAAAACCGAGAGCGAGACCGGCCAGCGTCAGCGGCTCCCGCTGGCTCCCTGCGGGGCCAAGTGTGAAGCTGGCTCCGAGGCTGGCAGGTCTGATTTCTGGCCCCGAGGTGGCCGGGCCGGGCTGGGCTGGCGGGGCAGGGTGGGGCACTGCCCTGCCCCTGGCTGATACCTGGCATGCAGAGTGATAACCATCTTCCTGTCACCACAAAGCAGAGGTTACCTGGTTCAAGGTTTATCGCTTTCCTGGAAGCTGATTTCTCTGCTTCCAGAGCTGGCCGGGGTCAGGGTTATCTCTGCGTTTTGCTAAATGCCAGCCTGGGTGCCGAGGACGAGGACTGGCTGGGATTCTGCCTTTGCCTCCCCACGCTGGCTGCTCTGTGCCGGGCCTGAGCCCCTCCCCAGTCCTTAGGGGTCGGTGGGACGTGAGCGTGGGGCTGTGAGCAGTGCCTGGCGGAGGTGGGGTGGCCTGGGCACGTGGGGAGCAGGGGGTGCTGGTTGGGGAGTCGCTGGGCAGAGGGAGACAGGAGGGACCGGAGGAGACACGTGTGAGCTGGGCTCGGGCTGTCACGGTGCGAGGTTTGGGGGTGGAGGTGCGGGACCCCGGAGGGCTCTGGGCGGGGTGGGGCGCGATGGTGCAGGTGGACACGTTTCTTGGCCACGTGAGCCGGAAACACGCTATGATTGAGGTGACCGGACGACCCGATTTTCACCCGTTTGTCCCGCGCCCCACAGCGTTTTAAAAAAGTCCCGGTTATTTCCAAAATTGTTAAAAATCGAGGGACAAATTGTTAAAAATCAGGACATCTGCCAAAACCGGCATGGCTCCGTGGATAGAGAGTCAGCCTGCGGACCGAAGGGTCCCAGGTTCGATTCCAGTCAAGGGCATGTACCTTGGTGGCGGGCACATTCCCGGTGGGAGGTGTGCAGGAGGCAGCTGGTCGTGATTCTCTCTCATCGGTGTTTCTAGCTCTCTATCCCTCTCCCTTCCTCTCTGTAAAAAGTCAATAAAATATTTTTTTAAAAAATCGGGATGTCTGGTCACCTTGGCCATGATGTCTGGGACAGACGCCCCTCGCCCTGCCTCTGCGTGAACTGAGCCGTCCTTTTTGTCCACCTTCGGTGTCCGGTGCCCTCTCTCTTGTTGGGTCCCGGCGCCTGGCTGCTGGTGCTGAGAGAGCCGGGCCGGCCAGCGCAGCCCCTCCCCTCCCCCACCCCCAGCCCTCACCCCGGAGACAGTCTCTGCATTGTGCCGGCTTCAGTGGCGCCCTCAGAGCCCTGGGTTCCCCGCCTTTTTTTTGGGGGGGGGGTTGGGGGGGTTGGCTTGGCCCGGCTCGGTGGGGAAAGCTGGACTGGTTCTAAGTGGGCCCACTCGGTTCTGGACGGGACAGGCAGGGGTGTGGGGGGAGGGAGGCCTGGGGGGAGCCAGCCTCCGGGCTTTGTCTGCCCAGGCCTCTGCCGTCCCGTCTCCAGGTGCTCTGCAAACAGGAGCGGCCTCGCTGGCCACGTGGCTCGTGTTTGGCTTTGGGGTGGCTCCCCTGGCGAGTCCTGTCCTTCCCGCTTCTGTGCTGGGTGTGGAGCGCGCTCTGCAGGGCCGGGGTGGGGGCGGGGGCGGGGGCGGGGGGAGTGCCCTGCGTGTGAAAGGAGCCTTGTGTGGGGCTGTTGTTCCCCTTCCTCTTGGCCCCTCAGCCTATGGGGTCCGTGTTCACTTTAAAAAAGCTGCCGGGAGCCGGGTTTGGAGACCCGTCAGCCCTGTCCCTCCCTGTCCTTCCTGCTCGGTGAGGGGCCCTGAGAGCCGGGAGTGGTTTGTTAAGTCAGCAGCTGGGGCCGAGCACCCCTCGCTGGAGGGAAGTGTGGCCACTGCTGTCCACATCAGGCTGTGAGGTCACTGCCGTCCACATCAGGGTGAGAGCAGGTAACGAGGCCCCCCGGCTGTGCCTGGAAGCCGCGGGCAGGGCACAGGTGGTGAAATCGATGGGTCATTTCCTTTCCAGTTAGCGGCTCCTTTAAAAGAGAGAAATTTGCTGAAACCGGTTTGGCTCAGTGGTAGAGCGTCGGTCTGTGGACTGAAGGGTCCCGGGTTCGATTCCGGTCAGGGGCATGTACCTTGGTTGCAGGCGCGTCCCCAGTGGGGGGGGTGCAGGAGGCAGCTGGTCGATGTTTCTCTCTCATCGATGTTTCTAGCTCTCTCTCTCTCTCCCTTCCTCTCTGTAAAAAATCAATAAAATATATTTTAAAATAAATAAATAAAAATAAAAGAGAGAAATTTGGCCCTGGCCGGCCGGTTTTGCTCAGTGGATAGAGCCTTGGCCTGTGGACTGAAGGGTCCTGGGTTCAATTCCAGGCTCAGTCCCTGGTCCCAGTTGGGGCACTTGTCTCTCTCACATCAGTGTTTCTCCCGCCCCCTCCCCCGCCCTCTCTAAAAGCTGGGAAAATGCCCTCGGGTGAGGATTAACAAGAAAAAGAAATTTGTGGTGAAGGGCTCACCGAAGGCCCAGGCGGCGGTGGGGCAGGAGTCCGCCCAGAACCGTGTCCTCGGCTGGGCACCCCCCCAGCTCATCCATCGCGGTCCGGGACCTTGAAAGGAGGCGCTCGCTGTTCCCAGGCCCGCGATTGGCGGAGCTCGCAGGCCGGCCGGGCTCCAGGCATTTTCCTCCCACTCGGCTGGCGGAGCGCCTGCAGCTGCGCTGCCTCCCGGCCGGAACGTGGCTCCCTCCAAGGGAACGGGCCGGGCCAGCCATGGGCATCACCTGCGTTCAGGGCCGGGCCTGGGGGCTGGCGATTCGGCGCTGACCGAGGGCCGTGCTGGGAGCCCAGGCCTGTGCCCAGGGGTGTGTCAGGCCCGCCCCTGTGTCCGTGGCCTCGGCCATCCCACCTCCAGCCTCTGGGCTCCTGCCTGCGCCTGTGAGATGAGCCCTGAGGCCACACGCCCACAGCCGGTCTCCGGGCGCCTCTCACCCATGGCCCAGTCCCCGTGGCCCAGTCCCCGTGGCCCAGTGCCGTGGCCCAGTCCCCGTGGCCCAGTCCCCGTGGCCCAGTGCCGTGGCCCAGTCCCCGTGGCCCAGTCCCCGTGGCCCAGTCCCCGTGGCCCAGTCCCCGTGGCCCAGTGCCGTGGCCGTGTCGTGGCCCAGTCCCCGTGGCCCAGTCCCCGTGGCCGTGTCGTGGCCCAGTCCCCGTGGCCCAGTCCCCGTGGCCCAGTGCCTTGGCCCAGTCCCGGAGCGGGGGCAGCGCCACGCCCGCTGGTCCTGGGGACACTTTGCCTCCTCCATGCCCCGGGCACTCTCCGTGTTGGCCAGTCCCGAGGGCTTGCAGAAAGGGGGGGTAAGGAGGCCTCTTTCCCCCCAGAAACGTGGCCTTGGGAGACGGGTCAGACCTGCCTGTGAAGGTCATTTCTGGGGTGCCCCCCTCACGCTCCCCTCTCGAAGCCCCTGGAGGACTTCTGTGGGGGAGGGGCTGTGGGAAGGGGGGCCGGGAGCACTTGCCTGGCGGCTGCTGTCATCCCGTAAGCCCCCTGGTTTCTGCGTCAGGTGCGTGTTACTGGCTGAAAGGGGACAGCTTTGCCGGCCGGCGTGGCGCTGTGGTTGCGTGTGGACCCAGGAACCAGGAGGTCAGGGTTCGATTCTCAGGTCCTCAGCAGCCGGCGGGCTCCTCCGCTCTGGGCTCTGGTGTCTGTGCTCTGGCCGGCCCTGGTGTTCTCCTCCCCGGCCTTTTCTTCAAAACACTTTCTGTTCCTCATGTGAAACCAGCCACGTTCTCCTCCGGCAAAGCCGGGGCTGGGGGAGTGACCCTGAGTGCCCGCTGCTGATGGCTCTCCGGGGAGGGCGGTGACTGGGCTGTCCAGGCCGAGCTGCCCTGGGGGCGGGGGCGGGGGTTGGGGGCCACCCCCCTCCCCCCCGTGACCTTGGCCTCGCTCGGGCCCGTTTGCCCAGGACCCTCATTCAGACACGGCTCCGAGGCCGCCCAGGGCTGTGGCTGCAGCTGCCGCCTGGGGCCCTGGAACAGGACGGTCCTTGTGGCCTTCGGGGAGGCGGGGAGGTGGGATGGCGGGATGGTGGAGCGGGCGGGCGGGTAAGAATGCTGTGGGTCTGGCTGCAGGCCCAGCACTGTGTGTGTGTGTGTGTGTGTGTGTGTGTGTGTGTGTGTGCGCGCTCCTGTGGCCTCGGGGCCGTGTCTGCAGCCTTTGAAGCCTCCATCCACATCTTAAAGTGAGAGTAATGCTAATTATGCCAATACCGGTGTGGCTCAGTGGTTAGAGCTTTGCTCAGTGGATAGAGCGTGGCCTGTGGACTGAAAGGTCCCGGGTTTGATTCCGGTCAAAGGCATGTGCCTTGGTTGCGGGCACATCCCCAGTGGGGGGTGCACAGGAGGCAGCTGATGGATGTTTCTCTCTCATCGATGTTTCTAGCCCTCTATCCCTCTCCCTTCCTCTCTGTGGAAATAATATGTATTTTTAAAAAACGCTAATTCTGCCTCATGGGCTGGAGAACGGGTTGGTGGGACACGGTGGGTCCCGGGTTTGGCGGGTGCCGGACACCGGGTGAGGCTGGCAGGGGGCTGCCGGTCCCTGTCCGTGGGACCCTCTCGTGGCCTTCGGAATCCAGCGTCCGAGAGGCGCCCGAAACCAGCTGCCGCCCTCTGTGTGCTCAGGGCATCAAGAAGCCGTTCACTGAGGTCATCCGTGCCAACATCGGGGACGCCCAGGCCATGGGCCAGCAGCCTATCACCTTCCTCCGCCAGGTGAGGGGCCTCGGAGGGTGGGCTCGGGGAGGGCGGGTGTGGGGAGGGCGGGCCGGCCGTCCCCTCTCACCTCTCACCTCTGCCCCCTCCCCGCCTGGCCAGCCCCTCTGGGCGAGGTGGGCACCCCAATCCCAGCGCTCGCTCGCTGTCTCCCTCAACCCCTGGCCCTTGCAAAACCGTCTGAAATCCCCAGCCCCTGGGTAAGGTGACCAGACAGTCCTGATTTTTAACCATTTGTCCCGAGGTGTTTTTAAAAAGTCCTGATTCTTTTAAAAAATTGGGACTTTTTAAAAACGCCGCGGGACCAATGGTTAAAAATTGGGGCTGTCCCGGTCTGGTCACCTTACCCACGAGGGGTGGGGTGGGGGGTTTCCCGGTGGGCCGGCTCCGGGCAGGCTCTGCCTCAGGGGGGGTCCGGGGGGCTGAGTTTGAGCCTCCTCGTCCCCACAATTCCCCCCGGGAGGCCCAGGTCACCCAGCACCCCTCCCCCGGAGCCCACGGCCTCGGAGGGGTCCTGCCCGAGGTAGTTGGTGCCCCTCCCGGCTCTCTGGGTGGAGCCCAGTCCGTGCCTCCGTCCCCCCAGGTGATGGCGCTGTGCACCTACCCCAACCTGCTGGACAGCCCCAGCTTCCCGGAAGACGCCAAGACGCGGGCCCGTCGGATCCTGCAGGCCTGCGGCGGGAACAGCCTGGGTGAGGCCGCCGGCCGGCCGAGGGCGGGGGCAGCGAGCGAGCCCGTGGGTGTGCGCGGGCGTGAGCGTGCGGGTGGCTGGGTCCTCTGTGGTCCGGCGAGAGCCTCCGGCGTGAGGGCCAACGGGGTACATCTTTTTGTAAAAAGCCACGTCCCGCGTGATTCAAGGTTTGGGATCTGGAGCGGGCAAATGAGACAGGAAATAGTAATTTGGAATGGGGGCCAGGCGGAGAGCCCAACAAGGGGAGGGCTTCGCCGGTGCCCAGGCCCTGCCAGCCTTATGTTCCATTTTGGAAGCACGTCCAGCCCTTAGGCAGGCCATTCCGGAGGCAGACAGACGTAGAGGTCAGTAAGTATTAGGAAAGGTTTCCTCGGAGGCGGTGTGGTCAGGAAATGGCTGGAGCCACCGTGGTCTCCTCTAAACAAACCATCTCTGGTGCAGCATCCCGGCTCCTGTTTACAGTTTCTGATCTTTCTGATCAGGAAGACAATGGGGTTCCGCCAGCACAGGCATCTTGTGGTGGACGGGAGGCTGGAGGCTGCATTTGGGGTTGGTCTTGGGAGCCCACGTGGGCACGGCCCTCCGTCAGCCGAGGGTTGAACCAGGGCCTGGCCTCAGCCACCGGAGGCGAAGTGGAGGCTTCGTGCCCCCAGCTCTCGCCCTCAGCTCGCCCGAACGGCCTGGGGCTGAGGTCCGTCCTTGGGGAAGGATGGTGCAGCCACAGGCCTGGCCCCTTCTGGGCAGCTTCTATGGGTCTGACAGTCCCCCTCTCCCCCTCATTGTTCCCATCCCTGCCCTGCCTGCCGCCTCCCCAGAGCCTCCTGCCCGGGAGGTGAAGTGAAAATGACCTCCTCTCTCCTTCCTGTGGAGACGGGACTCCGGCCCCGGGGCCTCTGCTCTCTGTTCCGGCTCCCTGTGGTTTTTCTGTTTATCTTAGCGCTCTCCTTGCCCAGAGGGGGCTCGGCTTCCCTCTGTAGACCCCGGGGGGTCGGGCACAGTTGCTCTCAGAGCTTTTGTAGGCAGCCTGCCCGATTGTTCCGGAAAGCGGGGCAGAGATGATGCTTGCACTGCCCAGCAGGGGCTCGGCCACCCGGGCCTCTCTGTCCTCTGCCCGCGCCCCGGGGCTGTCCCCCGGGCTGTCCTGAGAGGGCCCTCGGGGTGTGGGTGTGGGGACAGGGCTCTGGCTGGGAGGCTCGGGAGAGGGGGGCCGTGTCCTGTGAGGCGCAGTGGGACATGGCCGCCTGGCCGGTCACTCGCTGGGTGTCTCTCAGGCTCCTACAGCGCCAGCCAGGGCGTGAACTGCATCCGGGAGGACGTGGCCGCCTACATCGCCCGGCGTGACGGCGGGGTGCCCGCCGACCCCGACAACATCTACCTGACCACCGGCGCCAGCGACGGCATCACGGTGCGGCGGGCAGGGTGCCCGGGGGCCGCGCCCGGGGGCCGCGCCTGGGGGCCGCGCCTGGGGGCCGCGCCGGGCCTCCGCCCGGAGGCAGCCTGGGAGGGAGCTGGGCCCCGCGGTCCCTGCCGCCCTCCCACAGGGGGCTGCGGGCCTTACCTGGTCCCGTCCTCCGGGTAAGGCCTCGGTTTCCCCCGAGCGCACCGCAGCAGGGGCAGGGGGAGGTGCCCGTGGCCCTCGGGGAGCCCACGTTCCTGGCCACACGGCCCTCTCTCCTCTGCCGGCCCCGTGCTGGGGACCGAAGGCGTTTGACCTTGCTCGGTCCCGGGGCAGACCCATTTCACAGATGTCATTGAGGCCCGGGAAGTGGGGTCCCCCGCCCCTGGGGTCATAGCGGAGGCTCCTGTGCTGTCAGCGCCGGGGCCCATACCGTGCACCTGCCTCCGCTGCAGACCATCCTGAAGATCCTGGTTTCCGGGGGCGGCAAGTCGCGGACGGGGGTGCTGATCCCCATCCCCCAGTACCCCCTCTACTCGGCGGTCCTCTCGGAGCTGGGCGCCGTGCAGGTCAACTACTACCTGGACGAGGACAACTGCTGGGCCCTGGACGTGCAGGAGCTGCGGCGGGCCGTGCGGGAGGCCAAGGAGCACTGTGACCCCAAGGTGCTGTGCATCATCAACCCCGGGAACCCCACAGGTGTGCTCCCCCTCCCCCTTCCTCCGGGGCGGGAACCCCACAGGTGTGCTCCCCTTCCCCTTCCTCCGGGGCGGGAACCCCACAGGTGTGCTCCCCTTCCCCTTCCTCCGGGGCGGGCGGGGCGGGGGCGGGAACCCCACAGGTGTGCTCCTCCTTCCTTCTTCCTCCGGGGCGGGAACCCCACAGGTGTGCTCCCCCTTCCCCCTTCCTCCGGGGCGGGCCGGGTGGGGGCAGGAACCCCACAGGTGTGCTCCTCCTTCCTTCTTCCTCCGGGGCAGGAACCCCACAGGTGTGCTCCCCCTTCCCCCTTCCTCCGGGGCGGGAACCCCACAGGTGTGCTCCCCCTTCCTCCTTCCTCCGGGGCGGGGGCAGGAACCCCACAGGTGTGCTCCTCCTTCCTTCTTCCTCCGGGGCAGGGCCGGGGCCCCACAGGTGGGCGCTCCTCCTTCCTCCCCCGGAAGGGGGAGGGGGGCCGGGGCTGGGGCACCGGTGTCTGGGCGCCGCCAGTTAAGTCCCCTTTGCTCTTGCTTTCCCAATCGGATTTCCCAATCCGCTTCCCGGCCCGTCCAGCTCCGGATCCGCCGTGTAAACGTTTGCGGACAGTTTGCCTTCTCTTTCTCCTGGGCAGGGCTGTGCTCTTGCTCAGACCAGTTTTCCTCCTGTTCTCGCTTTTGCAATCCCCTCCTCAGGGACCCAGGCCGCAGCCATTCATCCTGGGCCTCGGGCTGTTGTTCTGAAAAGCCCTGTGTGTGTGTGGGGGGGTGTGTGTTGTTGTGTTTCTGGGAGGAGCCAGCCTAGAGGCCCGAGCAGGAAATGTCACATGAAAACAAAAGCAGGAACTGTCTGCACCAGCTGAAAATCACTCCTCGTTTTGCATATTTTTCTTAAAAAGCGAAAAGCACAGTCCTGCCCGGTTTGGTCTCCGGGCTGCTGGCTTCGCAGGCCCGGGTGCGGGGAGCGAGGGCGCCCTCTCCTGGGCGGAGGGGAGCTGGGACAGGGCCGAGGAGGGCGCCGTGGAGCCTGCTGCTCGGGACATCGGCTGCGCGGCCACTCGAACCCTGGAGCTCTGGCTCCGGCCGCTGGCCGTCCTGGCTCCGGCCCGGGAGGGGTGACTGTTCTGGCCAGGCGGCCGGAGCAGCCCCTCCCTCCTGGCGGCACCTTGGAGTCACCAAGGGAGCTTTTAGCAACGCCAGGCCAGGCCAGGCCGCACCCCAGCCTTGGGGGCATCTGTATTCTGAGCAGCGGCTCCAGGGAACCAGCCACTGGCCCCACTCCCAGGCGCTCAGCTGTGATTGGAGCCCCAGGGTGCTGCCCCCGCCCGCCCCCGGATCCCAGAACCCTGGGCTCCTTCAAGGCGGCCTGGTCGGCCTTGCTTGGCGGGAGACTGGTTAGTCCCTTAGCCGAGGGGCTGCCTCATCGCTTAGTCCAGTGGTCGGCAGACTGCGGCTCGCGAGCCACCTGCGGCTCTCTGGCCCCTTGAGTGTGGCTCTTCCACAAAACACCGCAGCCTGGGCGAGTCTGTGTGGAAGAAGTGGCGTTAGGAGAAATTTAAGTTTAAAAAATTTCGCTCTCAAAAGAAGTTTCATTCGTTGTCCTGTTGGTATCTGGCTCTGTGGACCAATGAGTTGGCCGACCACGGGGCCTAGACAGTTCAAGGCCAGGTACCAGCTGGTCACCACACATTCGTGAGGTTCCGTCTCTACTGTTCCAGACGTGATCTTGATGCTCTAGCATAGACGAGAGGACGGGTGTTTTTATTTGTGACAAAAGGGTAACCAATCGGCGTACTGGTTGGCGTCAGATACCTGTGTACATGCAAGTAATGCCTGTGCACACACACTGAGTGGCCGGATGATGGTGATCTCTGAGCACACGATAATCTGGCCCTCAGTGTGTGTGTGTGTGTGTGTGTGTTGGGAGGCCCGGTGCATGAATCCGTGCATGGGTGGGGTCCAGCCAGTGTGTGTGTGTGTGTGTGTGTGTGTGTGTGTGTGTGTGTCAGAGGCCCGGTGCATGAATCCGTGCATGGGTGGGGTCCGGCCAGCCTGCCCAGGGGGGGGACATGGGCGGTCGGCCGGCCTGCCTGCTGGCTGAACTGGTCGAGGGGACAGTTTGCTTATTGGCCTTTCATTCTATCGGACAGACACGGAGTGGCCAGGTGGCGATGCGTGCAGAGACCGCAGTAACCCGGCCGCTCCGTGCATCTGTGTGTGCGATACCCCATAGGCGCACGGGGAGGGGCGGCGCCCGGGCCCTGGGGTCCTGGGGCCCTTACCGGGCTCTGACAGCTCGGCTCTGTCGGTCCCAGGCCAAGTGCAGAGCAGGAAGTGCATCGAGGACGTGATCCACCTCGCGTGGGAGGAGAAGCTCTTTCTCCTGGCGGACGAGGTACCGCGGCCGGGGCGGGGTGGGGCGGGGAGGGCCTGGCCGAGCCTCTTGGCTGCTGGAGGGGGGGCTCCACCTCTGAGGCTGTGACCCGAGTCATCCCGAACCGCCGGGCCGGGTCCCCGTCGCGTCGCTGCCATGCGCGGTGGGAAGGTCTGGAGACCGGTGGGTCCGTGTGGGCGGCCGCTCCCCCCGGAAGGCCCCGGAAGCAGCCCGCCGCCCGCCCGCCCGCAGGTGTACCAGGACAACGTGTACTCGGCCGACTGCACCTTCCACTCCTTCAAGAAGGTGCTGTGGGAGCTGGGCCCCGAGTACTCGAGCAACGTGGAGCTCGCCTCCTTCCACTCCACCTCCAAGGGCTACATGGGCGAGTACGTGCCGTCCCGCCACGCAGGCCCCGGCAGGGAGGCCTCGCTGCTGCTCAGACGCCAGCGGGCCGCACGCGGACGTGGTCGGGGCAGCCTGTGCGGTGTGTCCGCGGCCGGCCAGGCCTGGGGCGGGGGCGGGGGCAGGGCCAGGCCTGGGGCGGGGGCCGGGGCAGGGCCAGGCCTGGGGCGGGGGCCGGGGCAGGGCCAGGCCTGGGGCGGGGGCCGGGGCAGGGCCAGGCCTGGGGCGGGGGCGGGGGCAGGGCCGTGCGGGACGCCCCTGTGTGCTCGCGGGGGGCGCCCGGTGCGGGGCTCAGCGGGGAACCGTCTGCCAGGGGTTCGGAGAGCATTTGGGGGGTGGTCACGCGTGGGGCCGCCCCGGAGCTTCCGGCCGGCGGACGGCACTCAGCGCGCCTCCCGCCCCCCTCCCCGCAGGTGCGGCTACCGGGGCGGCTACATGGAGGTGGTCAACCTGCACCCCGAGATCAAAGGCCAGCTGGTGAAGCTGCTGTCGGTGCGCCTGTGCCCGCCCGTGTCGGGGCAGGCCGCCATGGACATCGTGGTGAACCCGCCGCGGCCGGGCGAGGAGTCCTTCGCGCAGTTCGTCCGGGTGAGGCGGGGCCCGGGGCGCGCCCTCGGGGGGCACACTCTCGGGGGGCACGCGTGGCACCTCGGGGCGCGGGAGCACCGCAGGGGGCGGATCGGAGGGGGCGGGGCGAGCGTTGGGTGGATGTGGCCCCCTCTCTCCTCTCCCTCCCCCGTGGGCCCCGCGGAGGGGCACCCAGAGAGAAGGCCGTGTGTCCTGAGCACCCCGGGGGGGGGGGGGTTCCTGAACTCCCAGGGGAGCCGAGGGACAGCACTGATTCTAGGCCCCGGGCCTGCCTCTGGCCTCAGCAGACATCTCAGCTTAAGGCGGGCCATTCGGACCCTTTTTAAAAATACTTATTTTCATCGATGTCAGAGAGGAAGGGAGAGGGAGAGAGAGATACCCATGATGAGAGAGAATCACGGACCAGCTGCCTCCTGCACCCCCCACTGGGGATGGAGCCCGCGCCCCGGGCCTGCGCCCTGACCGGGAATCGAACCGCTGAGCCCCTTTCGACAGCAGACACGCCGGCGGGACTCAGCAGGCGGGCTCGCCCTCGAGGCCACCCCACGGGGACATCGGGGTGACATGGCGACCGCGCTCTGTCCCGCAGGAGAAGGAGGCCGTGCTGAGCAATCTGGCCGAGAAGGCGAAGCTGACGGAAGACCTGTTCAACCAGGTCCCGGGGATCCGCTGCAACCCGCTGCAGGGCGCCATGTACGCCTTCCCCCGCCTCTTCCTGCCCCCGAGGGCCGTGGAGGCCGCGCAGGTGGGTGCTGGGGGGTGGGGGGTGGGGGTGGGGCTCCCCTGCTCCTGGGCCTGCGGGCTCTGGCTGCTCCCCGCCCGGCTCTGCGCCCCGTGGGCCGTTGGGGTGCAGGCGACCCCAAGGCCCAGCCCTGCTTGCCGTGCTGGCTGGCAGCGTGCCGACCTGGGCCCCGTGGGCGCCGGGGCCTGAGCAGGGCCTGTGGGCGCCACCTCTCCCCTGCCACCTGCCCCAGAGCTTCCCTCTGCGAACTTGGGGTTCAGGAAGCCCGGAGGGTCCGAGACCTGCTTCTCACAGTTTCCATGGACCCTACTCGGAGGATCAAGTGTTTCCTCCCTCAGACCTCCCCCAGGCCCTGCCCCTGCGCCAGCCACAGGCACCCGGCGTCCAGCGGGTCCTCGGAGGGAGGGAGGGAGGGGGGAGTGAGGGAGGGAGGGGAGGTGGGGGCGAGCCTGGCCGCGGGAAGGAACTGGTTCTGCTGTGTGTGCGGGGGTTTGGGGCTGCTTGTGTGAAGCGTGTGACCGAGGCCGCCGTCCCCCAGGCCCACGGCATGGCGCCCGACATGTTCTACTGCATGAGGCTGCTGGAGGAGACGGGCATCTGCGTGGTGCCCGGCAGCGGCTTCGGGCAGCGGGAGGGCACTTACCACTTCAGGTACCACCCCCGGCTCGTCGCTGGAGCCTGGCCTGGGGCGCCCAGCGGGGCTGGCTGGGGGACTGAGACGCCTGCAGCTGCCTCCCTGGGCTACCCCCCTACCCCCCCCAAGCCCCCCTGGCCCCGTGGGGTACCCCCCTGCCCCCCCCAATGCCCCCCCGGCCCCCCAGAGCCCCCGGCCCCGTGGGCTACCCCCCTGCCCCCCCCAATGCCCCCCCGGCCCCGCAGAGCCCCCCGCCCCGTGCTGGGCCCTCCCGGCCGCCCCGCCCCCGGGCTGACGCTGCTCTCCCCAGGATGACCATCCTCCCGCCCGTGGAGAAGCTGAAGACGGTGCTGCAGAGGGTGAAGGACTTCCATGTCCAGTTCCTCCAGGAGTTCGCCTGAGGCCCCGCCGGCTCCGGCCGCCCCAGCCCCTCCGAGCCACGGCCCCTCCTCGCCGCCCGCCCCCGCCGCCTCCTCTGTGCCTTGGTGGGAGCCGTCTCTCCGGCCGACGTGAACGGGGGCCCAGAGGCCGTTTTTCTTCCCGTTCCTGATGCAGCCAAAGTCGCGGGGCCGTGGCCCGCCTGTGGGGGCGCCGTCTGGACCTGCTGCCTCCCGTCCGGGTGGAAAGCGGGCGGGTTCGGAGGCTGCTCCGAGGAACGAGAGGCTGGAAACGCAGGGCTTCCCCCGGAGCGGACTGGACATCCCGCCGCCACGCGATCTGTGAAATAAAACCCTTGGTGCAGAACCCAGCCCCCGGCGGGGGTGCCCCCTTCTGGCCGGAGGCAGTCGGTGCAGACGGAGCAGGGGTCCCGGGGGATGGGTGCCAGGCCCTGGCGGTGGGTCCCCTTTTCCTTGTGTCCTGCAGGGGACGAGGGGGTGTGAGCTGGGTGACCAGGCTCCCAGGCAGCAGGGACTGTGCCCCCACGAGGCTCTGGGGGTGGCGGGGTGGCGGGGGCCTGGGCCTGTCGTGGCGATGCCAGAGGCTCCATCTGCTTTTCCACAACAAAGGTTCTGGCCCAGGGCTCCGGTGAGCCTTGGCGCACACCGCCCTCTGCTGGCGAGAGCAGGGATGCGACACTGACAGGGTCCTGGAGCCCGAGGGGCCTCCCCGCGGCCTGGACAGTCGCCCGTCCCCACCGTGTCCGCCGAGTCCGTGCCAACCGCGTTTGGCCCGTTTCCTGCCCATGAGCTGGCGAGGCGCCCGGCGGCCGCTGCGGTGGCCACGTGCTGCCGATGGGAAGTGCGTACGAGCGGCGTTGGCCCCCACGCCTGCTGCTGTGCCCGCCCTCCCAGACCGCCAGGCTCCCGCAGCCTCTGCACCTCCCCAGCCGGGCGGGCACCCCCCTCGCCGCAGCTCCCTGGCGCAGCACACCCGGCCGGGCCCCAGCCGCCCTCCGGAGAGCGGGAGCAGGTGTGCCCCCGCCCCCGCCTCCCCAGCGGGCAGTCAGGGAGCCCAGGGCCAGCACAGGGGTCTGGGGCCCAGCGAGTCCCCAGGTGGAGAGGAAGCAGCTGGACTGAGCAGCAGTGAGCTGGGAAAGCAGCCTCCCGGCTCCAGTTTCCGACGGGGGGTGCGCCCGCCAACTGCCACGGTCCCCGGCCGGCGCCCCGTCCCCGAGAGGCAGCCGCAGCCTCGAGGGGCTGGATCTGGGACTGCGCCGCCCTTAAGAGGCGCCCTGGCGCCGGGCTTGGGCTCTGGTGGGTCCGTTGGCGGGATGCGTCTGCGGCGGTGAGCAGAGGAGAGGGAGTCTCTATTTTTTGTATTTTTGTAACAACTGCTTTTTTCATGGGCGGAGGGTGGGCGGGTATTTGTAGTCCTAACACGTCCAGTGGTGTTTTTATAAAAGTCTCTGCGGATGCTAAGTAACCCGGAGTCCTCGCAGTGTTTACCTGCTGCTGGAGACGATGCCGCTGCATCCACGGGGACTGCAGGCCCAGCGGGGGGTGCTGGCCACGGGAGAGCCCCGCCCACAGCCTCCGTTCCGGGTCTGGGCACCGTCGGAGGGAGACATCGGCCCCTCGGGGTCACTATAAATCCACACCCGGGAGGGTTTGTCCATTTAGACCCGCCTGTGGGGCCCAGGGTCGTGGATGTGTGTGCTGGTGGGGCGGCAGGCCTGTCTGCCCCGGTTCCCATCTGGATTCTCACAGGCGGCTCCGAGAAGGCACTGCGGATGAGTGCTCTGCTGGGAATTTCAAAATAAAACACTTGGTGTCTAAAATGGTCCCCGGCGTCCCTGTCCTTGTTGAGGTTTCACACTCCGTGGACACTCGCTCTGCAGCGTGTTCGTGGCACAGAGAGCATCTCCCCCAGAGGCCGAGGCCAGGGGCGCATAGAGGTTCGTTCTGTTATTTGACTTTTGCGTATATTTTCATCATAAAAACATTTAATATATTTTATCTATTTTTTTTTTACAGAGAGGAAGGGACAGGGATAGAGAGTTAGAAACATCGATGAGAGAGAAGCATCGATCAGCTGCCTCCTGCACACCTCCACTGGGGATGTAACCAAGGTACATCCCCTTGTCCGGAATCAAACCCGGGACCTATCAGTCCCCAGGCTGATGCTCTATCCACTGAGCCACACCGGCCAGGGCTCATCATAAAAACATTTAAACAACCACAAACCTTGAGCGCAGGGGACATGGTTATTTTCTACTCAGTGTGCCCGCTCTCGGCACCTCGAGGGAGGCATGTGTCTTAAAGGCGCAGCACGCGGATGCGTGTTGTTTCACATGCCAAAGCACGTCACAGCACGGTGACAGCTACATGCCGGCATCGGGGGACACGACGAGATGTAGTTGGGTGTCCGGGTGACGTCCCTTCCTCACCGTCACCGCTCCGCTCCGCGAACGTTCTCGTGCGGATCTTGTGCACAGCCATCCCATCCCTACGAGGAAGGGAGTTACCAGATGAAAAGATGTCCAAGCACCAATGGGATTCCCAGCAGCAGCCATTTATTCACTCATTTTAATTTTTCCTCTTCATTGATTTTATTTTTTATTTATTTATTTTTAAATATATTTTATTGATTTTGTACAGAGAGGAAGGGAGAGAGACAGAGAGTTAGAAACATCGACGAGAGAGAGTTATTGATCAGCTGCCTCTTGCACATCCCCCACTGGGGATGTGCCCGCAACCAAGGTCCATGCCCTTGACCGGAATCGAACCTGGGTCCCTTCAGTTCCCAAGCCGACGCTCTATCCATTGAGCCAAACCGGTCTCGGCTCTTCATTGATTTTAGAGAGGAAGGAAGAGGGAGAGGAACACTGACTTACTATTCCCCTTATTGACACACTCGAACTGATGCTTGTCTGCCCTGACCGGGGATCGAACCTGCAACCTTGGTGTATGGGCACTGAGCTCCCTGGCTGGGGCGTGGCAGGGTTTCATTGAAAAGCAAACACGCACACGGTGATGGTTCAGCTTTGTCACGAGACCTGGACACAGCTCCTAGGCGATGCCTGGCCCCCGTGCCTCTCGCTGAGACGGGCGGCGTGGGCTAACCAGCCATGCACGGGTGCCGATGATGTGAGTCCACTGCACTGCGGGGCGGGGGAGCGTGGCCGTGCACACGTGTGCGTCAGGAGGACCTACTCCCTCGGCCTTGCCGGCTGCCGTACTGGCCGGGCAGGTTTTCGCGGTGAAGCCATTCTTCCCGGTCTGTTCTCGCTGTGTGTGAGCCTGGTGGTGATCCGGGCCGTGACGACTCAGAGCTGTGACTCCGTCCCTGGGTGCAGGGAAGGGAAGGGAGGTGCTGAACAGCTGACCTGCCGCAGAGGTGGCCTCAGGCTGCTGCTGCCCCACCTTCGTCAGGAAGGGGCTCTCGAACAGCCTCCCACCATTCCTGCTGCTCAGATGGCAGTGGAGTCTGGCCGGGAGGCTCAGTGGTTGAGAGTGGACCCATGAACCAGGAGGTCAGGGTTCGATGCCCGGTCAGGACACAGGCCCGGGTTGCAGGGTCGATGCCCAGTGGGGGGCGTACAAAAGGCAGCTGATCAATGGTTTTCTCTCATTGATGTTTCTCTCTCTCCCTCTCCCTTCCTCTCTGAAATAGTTAAAAAATATTACACACACACACACATACACACAGAGTGGCCAAATTATTATGATCTCTGAACGCATAATAATCTGGCCACTCAGTGAACATCCTACATAATAAAAGGCTAATATGCAAATTGTCCCCTCAATCAGTTCTACCAACAGACAGGCCGGACAACCACCCACGTCCCCTCCTGCTGGCCAGGCTGGCCGGACCCCACCTATGCACGAATTCATGCACCGGGTCTCTAACACACACACACACACACACACACACACACACACACAGGCCATACACACACACACACACAGGCCATACACACACACACACACACAGGCCATACACACACACACACACACACACACACACAGGCCATACACACACACACACACACACACACACACAGTGGCCATATTATTATGTGTAGAGAGATGATAATCTGGCCATCAGCATGTACATAAAGTCGGCCATGGGAAAGGAGAAGCCCCGTCCCCTGCTCCCCCCGCCCTCCCTCGTGCTGACAATGGATGTCTCTCTCAAACACCCAAGATGTGCCCCTTCCAAAGCAAGGCCCCTGCATCAAGCATGTCAACCTCAGGGACGACCACAGGCCGTGCCTCCTTCACTCGGCCTGGGTTAGCCTGCGAGTGTGACGTGCTTGCTCTTCGTGGAAGCGCGGGCACTGAGGGGGGCCCGGTGAGCTGGACCCGGCGACGGGTTCCCGGGTGGCGACGGGCACCCGGCCTCGGAGCTCCCGGGCCTCGTGCTGGAAGCGGAGAAGGAGCAGCTCTCCCGGGGCTGCTGGCGCGTCGTGGGGCACGTCCTCCACGAGGGTGGGCCTTGGGTTGGCCCTGACCTGGGCCCCTTCCTCCCCGCCTCCTGGCCCGTGGCTGCTCTGGAAGCTTCTGGCCGCACACTTGCCTGTGAGCCGGGGCGCTGGCAGGGTGGGGCGGTGACGCGGGATCAAGGCGCACTCAGCTGCCGGGCCGGCCACTCCTCGGTTTGGCTGCTGCGGAGGTGGAGGCGGCACTGCTTCCTGCCGCGAGGCGGTCAGGGCGGCGTGGCTGTCTCACAAACACAAACACACACGGGCTGGGTGTGATCAGCACCTGGGACAGAACTGAGCCCGATGGGCAGCTGAACAGGATTGGACATTAACCTTATCCTCTGGTTTGTAAATCCTGACATCCTGGACGTTAGCGATGGTTTTGTGGCTCTTCACATGCAAGCATAAAGGTGCACACGCTAAGGAGCCTCCTGTGGCGCCAGCAGTCTGGGCTGCAGGGCCCGGCCCCTCCCCGGGGACAGGCTGAGCTCCCGGGGAAGCATCATCAGCAGAAGCTAATCCAGTGACACGGGGCTGGTCCGGCCAGAGTGTTTGGGGAAAGTGCTTATTGTGGTGCCAAAAGCACAAGGAGCAAAAGAAATAAAACTGAAGGGTCCCAGGTTCGATTCTGGCCAAGGGCACATGCCTGGGTTGTGGGCTCAATTCCCAGGGGCGGGGGATGTGCAGGAAGCAAACAATCAATGATTCTCTCTAATCATTGATGTTTCTCTTTCTCTCCCTTCCTCTGAAACCAAATATATATATATACATATGACAAGAATGGTGATGAAAATTAGGAAATATATACAGCTCTGGCCAGTGTGGTTCAGTGGATAGTGTTGGCCCGCAGACTGAAGGGCTGTAGGTTGTTCTGGTCAAGAGCATACACCTGGGTTGCAGGCTTGACACCCCCCACCCCCCCCCCCCGCCCCGGCCCCAGTCAGGGTGTGTGCAAGAGGCAACCAATCGATGAGTCTTTCTCCCTCCCCCTTCCATTCTCTGTAAAAACAACAAGAAAAATCTCCTCTGCAGACTGAAAGGTCCTGGGTTCGATTCCGGTCAAGGGCATGTACCTTGGTTGCGGGCACATCCCCAGTAGGGGGTGTGCAAGAGGCAGCTGGTCGATGTTTCTCTGTCATCAATGTTTCTATCTCTCTATCTCTCCCTTCCTCTCTGAAAAAAATCAATAAAATATATATATATAAAGAATTTCAAATTTATAAAAAAAAATTTAAAAAAAAAAAATCGCCAAAACCGGTTTGGCTCAATGGATAGAGCGTCGGCTTGGGGACTGAAGAGACCTGGGTTCGATTCCGGTCAAGGGCATGTACCTTGGTTGCGGGCATATCCCCAGTAGGGGGTGTGCAAGAGGCAGCTGATCGATGACTCTCTCTCATCGATGTTTCTAACTCTCTATCTCTCTCCCTTCCTCTCTGAACAAAATCAATAAAATATATAAAAAAAAAAAAATTAAAAAAAAATAAATAAAAAGGTGGCAGACGATACTCAGCACTGCACGCCAGTCCACGGTTGTTCTCCCCGTGGCGGGGCCACCGATTCTCTCACGGGGCCTGGACTGAAGGGCTGACTGGCAGGTGCCGGGCAGGGTTCTCGGGGTCTCACTGTAACAGCTGCTGACCTGGCCGCGGGGCGGGTCCACCCAGGAGCGTTCCACGCCAGCCCCGACAGCGTCCTCAGCCTCGTTCAGGTCTCCGCCGGCCCGAGGGCCGTGCCAGCCGGGCGGCGCCCACGCAGGGAGGCTAGGCATAACTCGGCACCTGCGGCGGAGGGAGGGGACACGGAGACGCTGTGACGCGGTGGCGGCTGGTACACGCGTGGCCCGTGGGCGCGGCGTGTCATTTGGGTCTGCGCGGGCAGGTGAGGAACAGGAATTCTCTCCTCCGCCGCTGGCAGGATCATCCGGTGGGACAGCCTTCTAGAAGTTTGGTAAAGGGTTAGACGGTCACCGGGGGAACAGTCACTTCACTCCTCAGGATCTACCTGGAACTGGACAGGCGCCCACACAAAACCCTGTGAAGGTCACAGCGTGACCCAGTGGGAAACCCGTGTCCACCGGCGCCGAGCGGTGAGCAGGCGTGCGTGCCTATGCCAGCAGCATGGCCTGGCCGTCCAAAGGCAGGACCGTGCGGTCAGGGATGAGCCCCGGACCCGGACGAGGTTAGAACCCCATTGCAGCCCTGGGCGGCTTCTCGGTGGTCAGCGCGCCAGCCCGTGGACAGGTGGGTCCCAGGTTCGCCGCCCGTGGGGACTAGCGGGGAAGGCAGTCACACCAGTGCTCCCCTCCTCCTTTCCCTCCCTCTCTCGAGAGACTAATGGGAAACATCCTTGGATGAGGACCTGAGAAACGAGTCCCGTTTCATACCAAGTTAACGCCGGCCACGCTGAGACAGGCCCCGGATGGCGACTGCACCCGAGGCAGGGCCAGGGCGCGCATGCTAACGGGTTCCTCTCCGAGGTGCAATGTTCCGGGGGGAGAGCGGCGAAGGCTGCTAAGTCCTGAACGTCCTAAGCCCCCGCCCCGAGCTGCGCCCCCTCCGAGGCCTAGCGAGCGGCGTGTGCGGCATCACTTCCGACGGGGGAGTCGCTGCGGCCGCGCAACAGGCCTCCTCCCGCAGCTCTGCCAACGCAAGGGGGCCGCGGGAAGTGACGGATCTGAACGCGCCTGCCCCCCCTCCCCCGCTCCCGCGGGGCTGGCTCAGGAACACCCGCACAGATGGACGGACCACGCCGACCAGCTCACAAACCTTCATCGGGAAGGCGGAACCACACTGCGCTGCCTCTCTCACGCTTCACGTGGGCGCGGGGAAGTAACCCGGACACAGAACTGCGTGCTGCTGCCTCGCCAGGCCGCTGTGAAACCGTTTCTGTACCCGGAGGCAGAGCGGGGAGGGCAGGAACCGACACCCGCGCTGGGGCGAATGCCAGGACACCTGCCCGGTCGGGCTCTGGCGGACCGCGTGCGTTAGAATTAGGTCGGGGGTGGCATCGCAAGAAAAACTTCCTGTCCCCCCCCCCCCCCCCCCGTTCTCCCTCACACGTGACGTGTACGGCGGAGGGTTCTCCTTCAAATCCAAGTGCACCCTGGGAAGGGAGGTCCTAGTGAGAAAGGTGGAAGAGCAACACAGGGCCCCTCACACAGCGGCTGGGTCTGCTTTTCTATGGAACAGCAGCGCAATCCACCTCCATCTCATCACTCCCCCTCTCCAGCACTCAGCCTGATGAAGACAGAATCTTTACCTTAACATGAATGAAAACAGGTGCAATGGTTCTAATATTGCTTTGCAGTTTCCTTGCTTCTAAAAGGGGCGATGGTGGGGTACAGAGGCTGTCGCCCCAATGTGCAGGGCCAGTAAAGCCCGTTTCTACCAAAGTCACAAACTGGTGAAAAACGATCAAATGGGCGTGCGCCTGAGCATCCGCACTGCTGGAGAGCCAGAACTAAGACCCGTTCTCCAGGTCAGGATCCTTTGGCAGTCCAACACATGCTCCTGCTGCCCGGGCCAGGGGAGCTCGGAGCAGCAGTCCATGCCCGGCCAGGGCACATACCAGCTGTGGGTTCACCCCCGTCAGCGCTGCCATGGAAGGCAACCCATCCATGTCTCCACAGCGATGTCTCCCTCTCCCTTCCTCTCTCTAAAACCCATTTTTAAAAATGTGTTCCTCCTCCTAAAAATGTGACACAAAAATAATTTACACCAACTGCTTTTTATTACCGAGTTTCGAAACCTTTCACAAGATGATAAAAAACAAGAAAAAGAGGAAAAACCCAACAACATGACAACCACCGCTGATGCCACGCCCACGGTTCCGTCGGCTCCACGCCCGGTGTGCACGCCCACGCCCACGCACCCACGCCAGACGCAGGCTCGGAAACTCTTTATTCTGGTGTAGCAGCTGAGGATGCAGGCGCAGCCAAACACAAGCTCCAGGACACACTGGACAGACTTTACAACGTGGCTTCGAGGTGCAAACATGGAACAAAACCTACACGATCTGACAGAAACGCGCCTAGGCCCCACGGGAGGCCGGGTACCTGCCAGTCCTGCCTCCTCGAGTGCTCTCCTCTGCAGACCAGCCAGCGAAGATGCAGAGCTCTGCGTTAGTTAAATTATACACTCTGTAGATACTATACCGACTTTAAAGTTACACATAGACCAGGAGATATCCATCAGTTCATCCGGATCGACAGACCCTCTGGCCGGGCCGCGAAGACCAACGGGCACGCGGAGGACGCCTGCGCCCGGCTCACTGGTGGGCGCACTGCACGCCGGGGCCGTGGTGGCTGCTGCCCTCCTCGTCGGAGCTGTCGTTGTAGGCCTCGCGCCGCTGCCCGCCGCCCGAGCCCCGAGTGCTGTCGAATTCCTGGAGCTCCACCTCCTCCGTGTCGCCGATGACGGTCGGGACTTCTGGCCGGGATGGCAGAAGGTCTTCTAGTTCCTTCGTTAAAATGAAACAAACAGAAAAGATCGTGAAACCGGTGTGGCTCAGTGGCAGAGCGTCGGTCTGCGGACTGAAGGGTCCCGGGTTCGATTCCAGTTGGTTGCGGGCACATCCCCAGTAGGGGGTGTGCAAGAGGCAGCTGGTTGATATTTCTCTTTCATCGGCGTTTCCAGCTCTCTCTCTCCCTTCCTCTCTGTAAAAAATCAATAAAAAAAGAAAAAAAAAAAAAAAAAGGTCGCCCCTGCCCACACACAGCCGAGGGGCGGCTCCTTCCCAGCGAGAAGCCGAGACGCAGGCCGCCCCTGTAGACTCTTTCGTGCGGCCCCTGCTGCTTAGAAAACAAGCAGCCACCTGCCCACTCTGAACACGGGACACGCAGACACGCCTCCTGCACAAAGAGCAGCCGGCTGGGCTGGGGTGCCTCCTTCAGGCAGGGAACCCCCCACCCGACTCCCCTCCCTCCAGCACACCACGCCCAAGGCCTCCACTTTCCCACCCGCGGCCCTGGACACGCCAGCAGCAAAGCCCATCTCACACTTGAGAAGCACTTGCATCTGCGCTCTCATCTCGGCACAAGCAAATGGAAGGCGACAGAAACTCAGCCAGCGCCGGCTGGTTCTGGAGCCGGCCAGGCACTTACGGAGAGCTTGTCGGGGCTGACCCAGTTGTTCTCAGGAAACTGCACGTCGAACTTGATGTACAGGTCGCCCTTCTCGAAAGGGTTACGGTACTGCGGCATTCCTTCCCCGCGCACCACCCGGACGCACCCTGTCACGTGACAAGCCGTGGGGCGAGCGTGAGGATGAGCGAGAGGAAGAGTGCCAGAGTGCCCACTGCTGGGACGCCCGCCTCCCGGAGCTCAGGCCGCCTGGCGACTCACCCGGCTCGATGACCTTGCCGGGCGGGTACTTGACCACGATCTGGCGGGCGTCGAGGTGCTTGAAGGTGAACTGGAAGCCGCAGAGCGCCTCCACCAGGCCGATCTTGTAGGTCATGTGCAGGTCGTTGCCGTCCCGCTGGAACACCTGGGGAGAGCCGCCTGCTGTGCTCTGTGCCGGAGGCCACGTCACACTTCCCCTCACCGCCGGAGCAAGAGCCGCCCAGCCCGCCACGGATGTGTGCGGGAAGACCCCGCCATTCTCAAGGCAAGCCCTGGACCGGAGAGCGGCTCCAACCTAGCCCCAGCCGCCAGCTGAGGGTGCGGGGGCCCAGCGGATTCTGTGAGCAGGCTCGCCCTGGAGTGCTCCCTAGACACGACAGGAACAAGGGCAAGGGAGGCCAAGTTCAACATAAACAGCTCCACTGGCAGGGTCAGCCCACGAAGGCGCTTATTAAGCACCGTGCGTCCCATCCCACACGTACGAACACGCTTCCTCTCGCCTAAAGCTCCGAACCTGCTCAGAGGAATGCAAATCAACAATAACCCGTGGCTGAGCAGCGAGTGCAGAGGTCACTCCTTCAACATCCAGAATGTCTCCGCGCTTCTGCGGAGGAAAAGCCATCCACCTGCACTCATGCCTGCCTCCGCTTCTCTCACCGCAGCTCACAAACACCAGGCGCTTCTCTTGAAATTTAATTTAATAAAATTAACTGCCGTAAAGGCCGCCTAGGTTTCCCCCTCAATACTAGTCTCTCTTCCAAAGAGTGCGGGACAGTCAAAGAGAGGAACCTGAAAGACAGCCCCAGCCCCAAACCTCCTACCAGATCTGCCCGCGAAGGAAAGCAGACCTCATCCATCCCCGACCTGGGTCCGGGGCCCGCAGCCGCAGCACGAACAGCCGTCCCGAACCACACAGCCTTCGGTTAACACGCTCTCCCTCCTCCCTCCCCCCGAGATGTGCAGCCAGCGGGCAGCAGCACCTGCTTTCAAGGCCCCTTTCTCCGAGCTCCCGGGAGCCAGAGCAGCCCCCTGGGCGCACCTCTTTAAAGAGGCAGCCGCGCAGGGCCAGGAAGGGGTGCTCTCTGGGGTGTCTTGGACAGCAGGGCTCACCGGATGTGGTTCCAATACAAAATGGCCTCAGAGCTTTTTGCTGTTTTGGGTGGTGGTGGGGCGGTTAGGCTAGCCAATGTGATGTTAAAACTCAGAGAACACACAAGCAAGAATTAGGAAGTTTTTGAAAAACAGGATTAATGGAGAAGCTGCCAAGAACAAGACAGCAACCCACTTACAGTGGCCATCACATCTGAAAAACGAACAGAGGGCTCATCCCAGATCCTGCGGTCCTCTGTGCACATGCACCTGGCGCCAGCGCACACACACACACACACACACACTCACACACACACTCACACACACACACACACACACTCACACACTCACACACACACACACTCACACACACACTCACACACACACACACACTCACTCACACACACACTCACACACACACACACACTCACACACACACACACACACTCACACACACTCACACACTCTCACACACACACACTCACACACACACACACACACACACTCACACACACACACTCTCACACACACACTCACACACACACACACACACACACGCGCGCGCGCGCACACACACACACTCACTCACATACACACGCGCGCGCGCGCGCGCGCACACACACACACACACACGCGAAGAACCACACACGCGGTGCAGCATCCCAGCAGCACTGCCTCCTCAGGAGACTCTCACAGGCTACAGACCCACACCCACCTGGCCGCATGGCCTCCCATCACTTCAGCACAGAGTCGGGAGTGAAAAACACAAGAAAAACCAAGTTCAAACGAGTCAGTTCTCTCCAGTTCTCAGTGGTAGAAACTAAACCACTGCCCAGTGCGGCCGGCGCGGCTCAGGGGCTGAGCGTTGACCTAGGAAGCAGGAGGTCGGCTGGATTCCCGGTCAGGGCACAGGCCCGGGGTGTGGGCTCCGTCCTCAGTGGGGGACGTGCAGGAGGCAGCCGGACTATGATTCTCTCTCATCACTGACGTCTTTCTCCCTTCCTCTCTGAAATCAATAAAAAACAGTAAAAACAAAACCAACTGCCCACACCTCACCTTGGGCTCAAACTCACTGTCACAAAACCAAAGAGGACCTGCCGCCATCCCGCTAGCTCCCGTGCCGCCTGCCGAGGAGCCACAGCGACCGCTTCAGACCCTCCCCGCGCCGGACGGGGCAGCTCAGGCCCCGCCTTCCGGCCGAAGACCGCCGAGGGAGGACCGCTCCGGGTCCAGCGGAGCCAGGCCCGTGGGGGCCACGCTGGCTCACGCGAGTCAGAACCGACTGAAGGCCTTTGCCTCCAAGTCTTCTGGCCTCCCTTCCAAATCCCCGCTGGATTACATGCCCAGGACAGGCTGAGCTTAGGGGACAGGTCTCATGTCAGTCCACACGCCAGATCACCAACCACCATTCCACTCCCCCCGTCCCGACTTGCTCGCCACCCTCCTGCCGCGCCGCAGACACGCCATGCTAACTGCCCCCGCTCCCCGAGATGCGCCACGGCTGCACCACCTTACACCGGCTCGCTGTGCCCACGCGGACTCTGGCCATCTTTCTCTTTGTGCCTTTACTGGCTCATACGGTGCTGTGCGAGGAAGGCGAGGCTGACCGTAAACAGAGAACCTCATAAGAGAGCTACAAATACTCCCACCTGCGGGCCCCCAAGGCAGAACTCTAGAGATTACTATAATATTTGTCAGCAACCGGAGCCTCGCTTTTTGTGAGCTTGGCAAAGGGCCGAGACACACAAGAGCAACCCACAGCTCCACGAGGCTGGGAGCCTGAGACAGCCCGAGGGAGGCGGGCAGCACTCCCCCAGCGAGGGAGGAACCCAGTCCCTCCCAGCATCTGCACCGCCAGCACGGAGGACTGAAGCTTGCCCACCCCGACTCCATACCCCTCACCCCTCACCCCCCCAGGGGCTGTGCAGCCTCCTGGTCCGGCCCTCGCTTTCAGACCGGAGGCTGGGGACAGACACCAAACCCCGAGGCACAGTGCTGGTCAGCACCAAGGGGGCCACACCTGGCTCGGGCTGGCTCGCCGGGCCAGCCCGCCTCAGCCGGACCACTGGGCTTCCTTGGACGCAGCACTGCTCCAGGGAAGTGCCCGGCACCTGCGCGCACACCCGCGTGGCGAGCGACCACCGGGGCCGTACCTCGTGCTCCTTCTCCTGCAGCAGGAGCACGATGTCTCCCGGCTCCACGCCGGGGGCCTGGTCCGCTTCCCCTGCGAACGTGATCCTCTGGCCGTGCTTCATGCCCTTGTCCACGTGGACCTCGAGGATCTTGACCTCTTTGATCACCTTCTTCCCCTCGCACTTTTTACAGCGGTCCTTCTCGTTGATGACCTCTCCTGCAAGAGAGTGTTCAAGCTTCCGGTGAGGCGACAGCTGCTCTCGCTAAGCCTTTATTCGTTAAACACATTTCTGACGCCTTTAACGGCCTAAAGAACCATTCTGAGTCTCCGAAGCTCACCCTCCCCGAGGGCCGAGCTGCCCAGGCCTCCGCCATTTCCCGGCACAGTGTGCCGTAAGCCCTTCCTGGTCCCGACTCTTCCTGGAGTGAAAACAAAGCTGAGGGCCGGGAACAAAAGGGGTGTCAGGTGCCCTGGCTGGTTTGGCGCAGCAGACAGAGCGTCAGCTTGTGGAAAAGGGTCCCTGGCTTAATTTCAGTCAAGGGCACAGGCCCGGGTTGTGGGCTGGATCCCCACCAGGGGGCACGCAAAGTAGCCAATCCAGGATTCTCTCTCATCATGGATGTTTCTCTTCCCCCTCTTCTCTCCTCTCTGAAATAAAAACCACAAGGGGTGTCAGGTGCTGGACTCTGTAAACGCGTCATCATGTCTGTGCTCGGCCTCAGTGCCATGCATTCATAACCCAGATAAAACCTGAGTGTCCACATGACTCCTTACACTGCACAGCTGCAGTTCCACTGACTTCAGACCGAAGCGGCACCGGCGCCCTCCCAGGGGGCTCCCGCATGTAGTTCACGACCAAGGACAACTGCGGAACCGCTAGATGCTGCATTTAGCGCCGAGTCCCTCCACACACACTCAGGACACAGCCTCTCTTCTTCCCCACGCACTCTTTAAACATCTGAGCAGTGTCTAGTGGAGTAAAATGGAAGCTGTACATAGACTGAAAAAAGTGTCCATTTCTAATGGCTGGCTGGCCGCTTCAATGCTGAGAGGACGTGTATAATCAATAACTTCCGAGTCTGTTTCTAGAACACTTTGCAAAGCATGTTCTGCAAAATGCCAGTTTCTCCAAGTGGCAACGGCACTGGGCAGGTCTGCCGACGCTGGCTTCTCGACAGCGGAGCGTCGGCCACAGGGACAGGGAAATGCACTGAGCCCCGCGCAGGGGAAGGTGACAGGCCGCTCCCCCAGTGACGGCGTCCCGCCCAGGAGCACAGGGAAAAGGATGCTCTAACCCCGCGCTGGCCACTGAGCCACCACCAGCCATGCTGTGAGTTAAAGAACTCAGCAGCCACAGGAAGCGGTGGTGACTGTTCGGGACGTTTGTCGCAGAGAAACCCTCTGGCCAGTGCGCTCTAAGACGCTAAGTCCCCCCACCGGGAAGGCGGTGGCTGCCATGTTGTCTCACAGCAACAGTGACTGAACACGGCTGTCTCCCCCTCTCCAACGTCACCTCTTGTCCATGTTCTTGCTACTAGAAAAGAGGAACGTCTCACTGAACTGAATCCCCGAGGCCTTCCGTTATGGAATAGGAAGATACAACCACACCGAGAAAGAAAACCGCGTGCCTCCCATTGCTCGCACCCACCCCGCCCGGAGGGGGCCCAGCACGCACCTTCTCCGTTGCAGTCGGAGCACACGGACTGCATCTGCTGCACCATGCCCGGGGCCAGCTGTCGGATCATGATGCGGACGCCGCGGCCCCGGCAGGCCCCGCACTTCTGAACGGCCCCCGACTTTCCGCCTTGGCTAAAGAAGCGAAGGGCCCGTTAGGTGTCTGCCCGCTGACAGGACAGGCTGGGGCTGCGCTTCCCGCCTCCACCTCCAACCCCTCAGTGACCATCAGACTGACTGCAGAGGGACAGGAATGTCTGTGTTGGGTGGTAAGCTTTACAAAGAACACCTTTCCTGGCAGACACACGGCGGAGCACAGGTGAGCGCGACGCCATAGCCGGGCCACACTTACCCGCTGCACGCGCTGCAGAGCACATTCTTGCTGAGCTGGAGTTTGGTGGTCTTGCCGTTATACAGATCTTCTAAAGACACTCTGGAGAAAAGAATTGGGTTCAATCAAACGTTGCCCAGTTCTCTCAAACACAGACATGACGACAGCCGAAAGAGCAAATTTCACTATAACCTTCTCAAGCAAAGGACTAAAACCCCTTCATGACGCCACGGACTGAGGTTTCACTGGCGGCTGAATCACCAGAAAGGTCTGTGGTCCCGGACAGCACAGATGGGCCCACAGCCAGCACAGGGTCAGGCCAGCTGCCGCTCTTGCATTTTCTGATGAAGCTGACAACTCAAGTGCACAGCCTCCCCCGCCTCAGGCAAGAACCCCCTTTCCGGGACAGACAGGGCACAGCGAGGCTAAGGCAGGCCGCACTCCCCGACAAGGCTCTGCACCCGCCAAGGACAGGTCAGAAAGGCCACCGAGTCCTGTTCTAACTGGAGGGTGGCACTCGGAGTGCATGTCTCAAAAAAGAAAGGAAAAAGTGGCCTTATCTACCGTGTGACAGTGCGAGAGGAGGAGGGAACAGGTTTTTACCAGCGCCTACAAGTCTTCATGCTCTAAAGAACCCGGCCAATTCTAAGCAAAACTGCATCAACTTTTACCAAATTTTCAGAGTTCTAAGACAAAAAAGGGTGGAGTTAAAAAGTCTATTAAAAATATATGACTTAGCCGAAACCAGTTTGGCTCAATGGACAAAGTATTGGCTTGGGGACTGAAGGATCCTGGGTTCGATTCCGGTCAAGGGCATGTACCTTGGTTGCGGGCACATCCCCAGTAGGGGGTGTGCAAGAGGCAGCTGATTGATGACTCTCATTGATGTTTTTAACTATCTCTCTCCCTTCCTCTCTGTACAAAATCAATAAAATTAAAAAAAAAAAAATATGACTTAGCCCTAGCTGGTTTGGCTGTGTTAACAGCGTCGGCCGGCGGACTGAAGGGGCCCGGGTTTGATTCCAGTCAAGGGCATTAAGCCTAGGCTGTGGGCTCAATCCCAGGGGCATGCAAGAGGCAGCTGATCAATGATTCTCTCTCCCTCCCTCTCTAAAATCAATAAAAATATTTTAAAAATATAGTTGAAGTATGTTGCAAAGAACATAGTCTCTCTTTTTTTTGTTGTTGATGGTTTACAAAAATTTATTGAGTTGATCTTCTATCCCATGAGTAACTCAAACTTTCTCAAAATTGCTAAGTGAAGCTAATGAGAATGAGAAGAAAACATTGACAAAGTTGTCCCATACCCTCCCCCCCCACTGGGGTAAGCAATGCCATGTCCACGGCGGCCCCCTGGACAAAAGCCCCGGTGTGTCCGCCTCTTACTTTCCCTAAGAACCCTGGAACAAATCACCGACAGCAAACAAACCGGCAGGGCCTCTTGGTGGCTATTACGTTACAGCCAGCACACAGAACCGCACCGAGGCCGCCACAGTCCTCGCTCCAACCACCGTGACCGAGAAAGGAGAAATGTGGGCCATGGTCTGCGGAGCTGACCTCCCCGGCCGTTTCTACCAGGAAACGGCTGCATCTCCCGGCCGCACACACGGCCTGCCCAGGAACCTCTGCCAGGAGAGCTGCGCAGACACCCCGCAGCACCATGACCACCGGAGGCCCTGGCAGCCGCCCGGGAAGGGGAGCCACTAAATGCCACGGCGGGAGCATCAAACCACCAACACGGAATGCAGCACCACAGGGAATGCTAAATGCCGCGGAGAACGCAGCAGGAAATAACTGCATGGGCTGCACACTAGGAACCAGCATGTAAAGGCGGTCAGAAGGACCATGAAACCCAGCACTCTGGATTCTACTTCTCAGACCATTTCTTTTTCTTTTTTAAATGTTTTTATTAATTTCAGAGAGGAAGGGAGGAGGAGAGAGAAACATCCATGATGAGAATCACTCACTGATTGGCTGCCTCCTACAGGCCCCACACGGGGGGTGGAGCCCGCAACCCGGGCATGTGCCCTGACCGGGAATCAAACCCTGACCTCCTGGGTCACAGGTTGATGCTCAACCGCTGCGCCATACTGGCCAGGTCTTAGATCATTTCTTTGTCAAAGAAAAATATAGGGAAAAAACAAAAGTAACCAATACTGCACAAGTGTTACTCTTGGAATAATATCCAAATAATAACATTTCTAAGGATAAATTCTTTCAACATATACATTTAAGAATAAGGAGTCAAACAATGTAACAGATTATACTTTACTTCCTCTAATCTATTCAGATGAATAAGTAACATGAAATATTTTAAGTGCTGGAAATTCAGTCCCTGCCATTTGCTTGTAAAATCATCATTAGATTGAACCCAAGGCCTCACAAATTTCACAAAGTAAAAAAGCTAGTTTCCAATTGTAGCAGGTTCATGAGCTCACAGTCTAAGATCAAGGTCAGACCCGTTCATATGTTGGCAGGTTGACGCCAGGCTTGAAGCCAGCAAGCTCCATGGAAACCGATTTCAGAGAGTTCTCGCTGAGGATCAAGTAATGAGTGACTACACCGTGCAAACACACTAGGCTGGCAGGCACTCAGCTCGTGTGTTTTTAATAAAAAGTGACTTGGGAGGTTTAAATACATCAAAGGGGAGAACTCCATCATTGGAAATGCCAGTCACAGACTCTGCCTGGGGAGCACGTGAACAAAACCATCCTCCCACTCAGTGCCGACACCACCCGCCCTTTGGATTTGTAGCAAAACACACACACCCAGTTACCAAATTCAACTTGTCACCCCAAGTGGACAGCGAGGCTCACGGAATGTTTTCTGATGACAGATAAAACCGTGGACACCTGTTCTCTTCCACTACTGCTATGGAAGAAAAGCGCTTTTTAAAGGAAAAAGAGGTATTCACTTGAGCGGATGCATCATGTCCTCTCCTCTTCTCCGGCCATTCCGACTCCTGCTCTGATTGCCCATGAAGCCGAACAGTCCGCCCCCGAAAATGTGCGAGAAGATGTCGTCCATGCCGCCGCCGCCACCGCCGCCTTCCCGGAGGCCCTGCTCTCCGTATCGGTCATACAGCTCGCGTTTCTCAGGGTTTGAGAGGACTTCATATGCAAAACTGATTTCTTTGAACTATCGAGAAAAAGGAAAACAATCAGGTTTGTAAATAGAAGAGTGGAGAAAGGCCACGGGAACCCAGAAGCCACTGAATTCCGGAAGGAGCAAGCTGCCTCTGGTTTGATCCTGGCCCATTTCCCGCCCACCACCGCCCGGAATGCCGGTGTTCCTGGGACAAAACCAAACTCTCCAAACCTAACTGGGCCCACGGGCATCAAGGACTTTTCTTACGCTCCTTTGACAAGGAGGGCAACTTAAGTCTAAGGCGGAAACCTTGGGGGAAAGTCTCAAGTTACTTACTTTGTCACCAGCATTTGGATTCTTATCAGGGTGGTACTCCTTGGCTAGTTTTCTGTACGCCTTCAATGAGGGGTAAAAAAACAGACAAAAAAAGGGAGGGTTATAGACACAGACCAGCTTCAAGACTTGTCCTAACATAACCACTTTCCTGGGAAGCATCACCACCTTTCAAAAACAGCCTGTGTTCCACAATTGCCGCTTCCCATCTTATAACACTGTTTACTCGCTGACTTCACACAATGAAGCAGGCAGCAAGTTTTGCTTGAAGAGAGGTTATATCGAAGCCAGATGCCAACAAGGAGACAACGCCACAGGGGGAAAGCCCAAAACATTGGGACACTCTGTATCTTCACAGTTGCCCCAAGTCTTCAATGGCCACTAACCGGGTCAGGGTCAAGAAGACTTGGATAAGAAGTGTTTGTGAAGCTTTACAAACAGCAAGACATTGTCACTAAAAACCGAGCCGCGGTGAGGATTCCTGCTCACGATGGCTCCTCTCACTGTGGCATCCGGGTGAGGCAGGAGCAGCTCCGGGCGGTGTTTCCTTTCCATCAGGGGAGGGGGGACCGCTAACCTGGGGTCTGGGGGCCTGAGCGAGCCTCGGTCTATGGGAAGGTGCCCACTAGCTGGAGGCGGCGGGCTCCCCTGCACCCGGTCTTCATTCACAGGCCCAGGAATTACATAATGGGCGGCATTTCCGGGAAGGGAACAGGAAGTCCCCCTGCCTCCAACTGTCCCGTCCCGCCGCCGGCGGGTGCGGAGGCCGCGGGAGCCATCGGGCGCCTCCCCGGGGCGCTGTCAGCAGGCGGCCCGCGTGGCGCGATGGCGGGGCCGGCCCTTTATTTTTAGGCCGCGGACACTCCGGGGCTTGGCCGGCACCCACGCCGCCGCCCGGGGCGAGCGGGGGCAGGACCGCCCGCCGGGTTACCTGCCCGGACACGGCCCCCGCCGCGCGCGGCCCCGCGGGAGGGCCGGACGGAGGGGGAGGGAGGGGAGGAGGGGAAGACGGAGGGGGAGGGAGGAGAGGACGGAGGGGGAGGGAGAGGAACGGAGGGGGAGGGAGGCGGAAGGAAGGGCGGAGCGGCCGCGGCCCCGCAAACAGCCCACCTGCCCCGCCGCACCGGCCGGCGGCCGCCACCTTCCCGCCCTCCCGCTGGGCCCGGGGCCCCGCCCGGCGCGGCGCCGGCGGCCTGGACGTCCTCCCGGGGCCGGGGCCGCGGCCCCACCTGCCCGTCCGGCCTGACCCGGCGCCGCGGCGGAGGAGGAGGGGGAAGCCCGGGGCGCGCAGCGGCCGCCGTTTGCTGCAGCCGCGGGCGGGGCCGCGGCCAAGGTCAGGCGAGGCCGGGGCGGCGGCCCGCGAACCGCGTCCGGCCGGCCGCCCCCCCCCCACCCCCCCCGGGCCCGGCGCCGGCTCGCGGGCCGCCGGGAGCGCGGCCTGGCCGCCCGGCGCCGCGCAGGCCCCGCGCCCCCGCCGCCGGCCCGGTACCTTCTTCAGCTCGTTCTCGCTGGCGCCGGGCGGCACGCCCAGGATGTCGTACAGCTTCGTGTCGACCACGTTCGCCATGGCGGCGGCCGGCGGCGGGCGGCGGGCGGGCGGAAGGCGGCGGCGGAGCGGGCGCAGCGGGCGGAGCGGCGGCGCAGGCCGAGGAGACAGCGAGGGGGAGCGGGGGCGGGGCTGCACTTTGACCCGGCGCACGGCGCGCCGTGACGTCAGCGCGCAGCCGCCCGGCGCCGGCGGCCGCCGGGGTCGGGGTGTGACGCAGCGCGCGTGCGCCTCCCCCTCGGCGTCCGGGCCCGCGCGGCGCCTCCCGCCGGGGCTCCCGGGAGGGGCGGTCGCGGCCGGCCCCGCGGCCCCCGTGGAGCCGGGCGCTGGGCCCTCCGTCCCGGTGCCCGCCGCCCCGGGCCCGGCTCCCGCGGGGCGGACGGTGGGAACGGCCCCCGGGGGTGCGCGTCTCGGGTGTCGCACTTCCGGGCGCGTCCAAGCGTCCGCCCGAAGCAGCGGACCGCACCCCGGGGCGCCGCAGTCACGGGTCACCCCTGCTGGCCAGCCTCCAGCGCCTTAAGGGGAACCGCCGATTTCCCAAACACCTGCGCATCTCACAGGCCGCTGAGGCCCCGGCCGGTGTGGCTCAGTGGGTAGAGCAGCGGCCTGCGGACTGAAGGGTCCTGGGTTCGAGGCCGGGTCAGGGCACAGGCCCGGTGGTGGGCTGGATCCCCATTGCGGGGTGCAGGAGGCAGCCTATTCACGATGATCTTTCTCTCATCATCGCTGTTTCTGTCTCTGGAGATCAATAATAATAATAATAATAAAAATAAAAATAATAAAAATAAAGGATGACTGTAAGACGGCATCACACGGGAGGAATCCTTGGTCCACCCTTGGATTTTCTCCACGGCCTCCTGCCCACGATTGGTTTTCGGCCCCAGGCCCCATGTGTTTCAGTCTAACACGGGAGGTCTGGGTGGCAGGAGGCAGCACGGCTGGGCACACCGTTGGCATCAGAAGATGTTTTGCTCGCCCTAACCGTTGTGGCTCAGTGGATAGAGCACCGGCCTTCGGACTGAAGGGTTCGAGGTTGGCCATGGCTGTGGCCGTGGCCGTGGCCGTGGCCGGTGTGGCCCAGGCGGTTCGGCATTCTCTCCTGCACAGAGAGGTTGCAGGTTTGATTCCAGGTCAAGGGCACATGCCTGGATGCAGGAGGCAGGAGGTAGCTCATCAATGTTAGGTTTTTAAAATATATATGTATATATAAAGATTTTTAATTTATTTCAGAGAGGAAGGGAGAGGGAGAGAGAGACAGAAACATCAAAGATGAGAGAGAATCATGGATGGGCTGCCTCCTGCTCACCCCCTATTGGGGACTGAGCCCAGAACGCAGGCATGTGTCCTTGACGGGAATCGAACCCAGGACCCTTTAGTCTGCAGGCTGATGCTCCATCCACTAAGCCAAACCAGCTAGGGCTCAATGTTACTTTCTTTCTCACATTGATGTTTCTCTTCCCATCTCCCTTCCTCTCTCTCAAATCAAGAATAATAACATTTTAGCCGAAACCGGTTTGGCTCAATGGATAGAGCGTCGGCTTGGGGACTGGAGGGTCCCAGGTTTGATTCCGGTCAGGGGCATGTACCTTGGTTGCGGGCATCTCCCCAGAGGGGTGTGCAAGAGGCAGCTGATTGATGACTCTCATCGATGTTTCTATCTCTCTCCCTTCCTCTCTGTACAAAATCAATAAAATATATTAAAAAAAAAAAAGAATAATAACATATTAAACAAACAAACAGCCGAAACCGGTTTAGCTCAATGGATAGAGCGTCGGTTGGGGGACTGAAGGGTCCCGGGTTCGATTCCGGTCAAGGGCATGTACCTTGGTTGCGGGCATATCCCCAGTGGGGGGTGTGCAAGAGGCAACTGATCGATGACTCTCTCTCATCGATGTTTCTAACTCTCTCTCTCCCTCTCTGTACAAAATCAATAAAATATATTAAAACAAACAAACAAAGAAACAAAAAAAACATTTGAATGACCCAGCTGTGGAGGGCCTGGAGTACACGCCAAGGGATTTGCAACATATCCCTGGACACCCGGACACTCCTCCTACCTACCTCTCCCCTTTCCCACCAATCCTATCCAAACCTGCTCTGCCCGGATCCCACAGCCTGGGGGCAGGCAGGCTGTCCCCGCGGAGGCCCCACGGCCTGGGCTGGGCCTGGGGAGCCAGGTCCCATGTGGGGTTTCAGGGGGATTAGTCTGAGCTCCACCAACAGGCTGCCGGTTTCTTAGGGGAAACTTTGCCCCACAAGGTGTGGCTCTGGATGCGGGGGAGGCCTCCATCACTTCCGTTTCCCCGCTTCCTTTCCACAGGCTGAGACGCTCCCACGGGGCGGTGGGAAGCCGTGGTGCAGGCAGAGGGTGTGGTGGCCGGCGTGGACTGACACCGTGGCTGTGAGCGAGCGGGTTCCCAGGCGGGTCCTCCTGTGTCAGTGGGTGTCACAGCGTCAGCGCATGGGCTTGTGAGGGTTCCGACGACACTGACAGGGCACTTCGACCAGGAGCAAAGCAAACAGCCATGAGCAATCATGTCTGGTCCGTTTGCCTGCAGGCTGTCTCCACCTCCTTTTTAGTCCCGCTCCCCCGGCGGGGTTTCCCTCTGTGGACCGAGGACTGCCCCCCCCCCCACCCCTTTTCTTGGCCTCCCTCTCCCGGTCCCCGTGCTCAGCAATGACCGTGGTCTCCTCCTCTGCCAGGTCCTCTGATCCTCCCCCACTCGCTGGCTTTCACAATGTTGTGTGTGTGTGTGTGTTTTGTGGGTTTTTTTTTCTCTTTTATTTATTTTGTATTTATTTATATTAATATATTTTATTGATTTTTTCCTTTTTTTTACAGAGAGAAAGGGAGAGGGAGAGGGATAGAGAGTTAGTAACATCGATGAGAGAGAAACATCGACCAGCTGCCTCCTGCACACCTCCCACTGGGGATGTGCCCATAACCAAGGTACATGCCCTTGACCGGAATCAAACCCGGGACCTTTCAGTCCGCAGGTCAATGCTCTATCCACTGAGCCACACCAGTTAAGGCCACATCGTTTATCTTATTTTCTTTCTGCTCTAAAGGGTCCAGAAGAGCTGGACTTTTCTCATTTGTTTCAGTTTTCTTTTTTTTTCTTTTTTTCTAAGGGAAAGGCCCTTTGGTGATTCTTGGCTTCTGCTAGCCTCAATCCCTCCCTCCCTCTGTGACCTGATTCTAGCTCATGTTTTGTGTGTGTTTTCCTTTGTCGACAACAGTCTCCGTTTCCGAGTGCTGCCGTGTGACCGGCTGATCTCATAGGTCAACAAGTGGTTGCAGAGCAGCTCCATGCACTCCCGGGACACACGCCGGCCCGGCCTCACATGCTGAGCCACGCCGTGTCCGTGCGAGCCCGGCCACACCTGAGCCGCCCACGTGGTGCTCCGCAGGAGCTCAGGCCCGGGCTCCGGAGTGGGCTCAGCCCAGAGGGGCCCTCGCCCCGCGCGTGGCCAGGCCCGGGAGGTGCTGAGTCAGTGTGTCCGCGGCGGCTCTCCCTGGGCAGGGCCTGCAAGTTCAAGGCCCGGGAGATCTCCTCAGCTTCCTGCCCGGCTTCCTGAGGGCAAGTTCAGCTCCTCTCGGTGGTGAACTTGTGCAACTGCGGGGTGGGGTGGGGGTTGGGGTGGGAAGGACTGGGGTGGGAGGGGGAGGACGTTGCTACTGCTCCCTGCGAACCTCATGGACTCCCTCGGCCCATCGCGTGAGCCAGCCCCGGTGTGACACAGGTGGCCAGAGAGGCGTTTTGCTTCCTGCCTTTCACATCACTAAACTTTTAAAAATATGTTTTGTATTGATTTTAGAGAGAGAGAAAGGGAGAGAGCTAGAGAGACAGACTCGTCGGCTGGCTGCCTCCGGCCCGTCCCCATGTGCTCATGCCGGGAATGGAACCGTGACCTGATCCACGGGGTGATGCTCAACCATTGAGCCTCACCGGCCGGGCAGGACTGGCCGGTTTCCTAAATGAAAAAGGGGAAAAAGAACTTAATCTACCGTAGAGAACTGCCACGGAGTGACAACCAGCAATGTAACTGTCCACGGTTGTGTCGACCTCTCCTGAACGTTTGTGAGAACTATAGACGTCTGACAAGGAAACAAAGATTTTTATTCATACATTTATGTTATTCAAAAGTCTAACCTATTTAAAAATTATACAAAGAAATCTTGCTTCCACCCCATTCTCTCTACCTCCCACCATTGCCCATATTTCTTTATTACCTTTTCTTTTTCTATGCAAGTTATGCAAATACAAATATATATATATATATATATATATATATATATATATATATATATATATAAAATTGATTTCCGAGAGGAAGGGAGAGGGAGAGAGAGACAAACATCAACAATGAGAGAGAATCATGGACCTGCTGCCTCCTGCACACCCGCTACTGGGGATCAAGCCCACAGCCTGGGCATGTGCCCTGACCAGGAATTGAACCATGACCTCCTGGTTCATAGGTCAGTGCTCAACCTGAGCCACACTGGCTGGGCCCCAAATTTATATATATATATATATATATATATATATATATATATATATATATATTAATATATTTTATTGATTTTACACAGAGAGGAATTGAGAGGGATAGAGAGTTAGAAACGTCGATGAGAGAGATACATGGACCAGCTGCCTCCTGCACACCCCCCACTGGGGATGTGCCCACAACCAAGGTACATGCCCTTGACCGGAACCGAACCCAGGACCCCTCAGTCCACAGACCGACGCTCTATCCACTGAGTCAAACTGGTTTCGGCCCAAATTTATATTTTTATCTCCACTTTTTGTTGATAGAAAAAGTAGGGTACCCTAAGTGCTGCTCTGTTCTGGCTTTGGTCATCTAATAAATCCTGAAAATTAGCATCACTACACAGATTTTCCTCATTCTTTTCTCTCTCTTATTCTCTCTTTCAGTAAATGTTTTATTGAGATACAGCAACATACATCATGATTCATTGAATCAGTTCTCTCTCGGTGGGCAGTTGACTCGTTGTCTGC